CATTATGCGCCTATTACCCAAAGGACAGAAAGGCAACACATGAAAGGAAGCAGACAGCCCCTCCCCTCAATAAACCCCGCCCAGCCCCTCGTCTTAATGACGTGCGGGAATTCCCACACCTGCAGAGGTCAACTCTGAAGGCCTCTGCAAACAAAGCCATGGCACCGGCCACATCACCAGCTGTAGCACCTGCACCAGCTGCAGCACCTACTCCAGCTGCAACACCAACGACAGCTGCAGCTTCTACTCCAGTTGCAGCACCCACTCCAGCGCCAGCTGTAGCACCAGCTGCAGCTCCTGCTCCAGTGCCAGCTGCAGCACCGACGCCATCACCAGCTCCAGCTCCTCCCTCACCGCAGCAGGAAAAGCAAGAATTCAACAGGGAAATGAAAGATTTGATACAAATGTTGTTCAAGCAGATGGAGCAGATGATGTTCATGATGCAGCAACAGATGGTGCAGTTCCAGGAGAGGATTTTTGCGCTCTTCCTCGAGCAACGACAACATCCAGTGGGCCTTGGCAACGGTCAAGTGATGATCGATGGATCAAAATAATCTGTTAAAGTGCATTACCTGGAACATTAACAGTTTACAGAAACGCAAGGCGACCCTCGCTCAGCATCTTCACTCGGAAGATGTTGATATGTGTTGCCTCCAGGAAGTTAGAACTGATGCTCGTTATGCAAAAATTGCAGGATACACATATCACGACAAACCTAATATTGCTAATCCTTCTACAAGAGGACTTGGTATTTACATAAAAAATAGTATCCCATCAAAAGTGATCGATGACAAACGTGACAATGCAAGTGCTGAATATCTTGGTGTTAAAATATTTCTTGATGGTAGAACCATCACCATCATTAATGTATATAACCCACATGATAGTGAAGTGGTACCTAAACCTCCCGACAGTATGATACATAATGCTACTGTCTTACTGTGTGGAGATTTTAATGCCCGTCATCCTCTCCTTGGCTCTGAGGGAAGCACCATAGGTAAAAACGGTAAGGTATATTATGATTATCTTCAAAACACCAGTGATCCCATACACCTATTGTGCCCCTTTGAAAAGACTCATTATCTAGGTGGCAAATTAGATTATATAGTCTTATACAATCAGCACCCACTCCCATGCACTGCGGAAGTTGTCCCTTTCTTAGTCAGTGATCATTGGGCATTAGGTATCACCCTCCCATTCGCTAAAAGAAGCCCGCCCCAGCCACGTCTTCGATACCATCTTGCCACTAAACATCATAATGAGTTTATTAAAAGGATTGGCTGCTGGTATGAACACTATATTCCTGCCAGCCTTGATCACTTTAATGAAACTCTCTGTCAACAAGTTGGTAACCTCATTACCCAACTCCAACCCAGAAACCCTGCCAAACATAGGTCTTCATCCTCCAGAGGCAAACGAGCATATCCCCTTAACAAAGATCCGGAAATAAAGCTACTTAGAAAGCTAATAAGGTCTACAGTAAATCAGCTAAAAAACCTGGGGAAAATCCCTACTTAGCTAGGGACCTTGTTTTCTTTAGTAAAAAACTTAATGAGATAATGACACAAAAGCGGGAAGAGAGATTGTATGCCTGGGCAGAATCGATTGACTCCACGAGCTCCATGAGTAATGTGTGTAAGAAAATCAATAAGATTAAAGGCAATGCACACAATG